TGATACTAGTCACGTGACCTCGCTGACGCAACAATATGTATATAGCCAGAAAGGTTAAAAATTTGACCTTATAAAGTAAATGTTAGGATTGAAAATGCAGGGTCAACGAAATTATAATTGGTCAGAAAGTTTGGTCAAAAGTGCAAGTTAAAGCTGTAATGGTCTAGTTACAATAATTCTCTGTCTTAAACTTCCTTTAGGAACAGAGTGCTAAATCTATTGCTCTTGTCAAATGACATTTCTAAAATTTTATATGTACTAATGTACATACTGCCTCTAGAAAATGTACCCCTTTCATCTTTGGATTATTCATTCCTCCTGGCTTCATCAGGTCTTGCTCTTGACTACAATTCGACTGTGCTCTCCACTTTTCTCATAGCATGGCAACAGATCACAGCTACCATGGAACCCAGTCACATTCCTTCCACTACTGTTTGCCTGTTATACAAAACATAGCCCAGGTTCAGTAGAAAAAAATGAAAGATAACACTGCAAACTCTGGTGTCTACACAAGTAACCAAAGTAGATTAACTACCATGCAGGTTCTTACTTGATTTTCTGTTCAGGGAAATTCATTAACAACCAGTATTTCTTTTCTTTTCTGGTTCATTTCAAATATAAGTTCAGCACAGAGAAAGAGAACTACAAAACCATACCACTATGGTGTTACTTCTTGTATACGACTAAACCTGCACAGTCTGCACTTTCATGAGCTTCGACTACACCTCGTACTGAAATAATTTTAAGAAAATATTCAAAAACTTTGTACTTCTCAGAATATTTCAACCTGCATTATTGAAAGTATTCAAGCACAACGAAAAGCACATTGGAGACACAAAACTTACTTTTGGTAAGATACCAGCTACTGTTTGTGAATATTACTTTCTATGGGAAATTTTACCTGCTCAGTGCAAATGAAATATTCCTGGCTATTATTTGCAAAACAACATATCAAACCGGGTTTTCCTGTAATTGTAGCGTGAATCTAGCCATTACTCTTAATTTAACTCTCCCATAAATATTCACTGCCTGTCGAATACTTCAGTCAAAACTTAAACATTCTCACACCAGTATTTATGAAAAAAAAACAAAACAGACCTCATGTATCTTTAAATAATACTTCACATTCCAGTAATTGCAGTTAACTCGTGCGTCAAGCTCGTAAAATCCAGATCAAATCCTTTATTTTTATTCAAATGTTTCTCAAAGATTATGTTCTCAGTAACTTATTCATTTTTGTCACACGACACCAATAAATGATTTTTGTTAAAAACTTTGTACATGTATGCAACACTACACACACACACATATTCTTATCTGTATACATATATCCCAACATTTACCCATCTTCACATACATTAGTGGCTGTTAACAGACTGTCTCCAGCTCATATACCATTACCATAGTAGTAGGCTTTGGTTACTCCCATAACTTATATATATATATTGATGGCTATGGTGCTTTAATGTACTGTTGCATCAGCGAGGTCACGTGACTAGTATCACGCCACTTCTTTCTCGAACTTTCGTGAATTGTCAGGAGATTACTAGATATAGGGTAGTCTGGTATATATAAAATGGTGACAACGTGACGGGACAATGTATGTAGGTAGTGATAATTGAACTGCAGTCAGAGAGTGTGTAATTGAACTCGAGCAATTCTTTGAGAATTATAGCGCGACTTTTAAAATTAAGTGTATCGTAAAGTTGTATT